ATCAGGACTTTCCAAGCGAGAGACTAACTGGACTCCGCAATGTTTAAGATTGGCCACACAGATAAGATATGCTGGTAAGTTCCATAATTTTTAAACTATTGTTCATTTTTATATAAAAATTAATATACTAATCTCAATACTTACTCTTTACAGTTGGATGGAAGGCTTATCTATATCTAAAGAAATATCTGGGTTTACCATTGCCATCTTATTCTACAATATGCAGATATACAAGAAAGATTGGTTTTCAACCTGGTTTGTTAAGAAATGTTTTTTCATTAATGACAAAGAAAAGAGAAAGTCATAAATCTTCGAATCAAGACGACTGTGTTATTTTAATGGATGAGGTGGATATTCAACCAGCATTAGAATATGATGTTAGCACAAGTGAGGTTCAGTTATTATTATAGCACACAACAAAATTAATTAAAATTGATTGTCTTAGCATAACTACTGTAGAAAGTAAGTATGCAATGACAACTTTAAACTGGACAACAATGATCTGCTACCGTTTAATTGTACATACAAATTATGTTGTAAATACGAGTGCCCTTACTTATAAATAACGAAGGATTCATATAATAAATATAATTAATAATATATATTAATAATATAATAAATAATAATATATAATTAATAATATAATTAATAATATACACTACTCAACAAAATCTAGGGAACACTTTCAAACACGCTAAAAATTGAGCAATATTCAGAACACCATAATTCAATGAAAAATATTAAGTACATATATTTCAATAATCGTTTTTAATTATAATTTAAGTGTGTGGAAAAATGGTTTATATATATTAAATATATACAAATTATTTATATATAATTATAAAAAGATTACCACTGTTACATATGAATACATATTAATATATTTACATAAATTACCTTTCTGATTTACCAAATTTCCGTATTTGTAATTTCCTAATAATTTCTTTATTAAATGATTATTTTTTATCAATTAACGTTGCACATATCAATAAACATTTCAATATTTTTCATTTTTGGCCATAGGATCATTTGTTGGACAAACGATGTGTGATGAGATAGAAAAGTTAAGCACTTCTATTGTTTTTATGCTCAGAGGTTTAAACGAAAATTGGAAACGAATTGTTTCATGGCATCTTACATCTAAGTTTTCAAATGATGATATCATGACTCAATTACTGTTTGAAATTGTCGAAGAAGCAGAGAAAATAGGTTACAAGGTCCACGGATTAGTTTGTGATATGGGTCCAAAAAATCAAGCGATATGGCGCAATTTAGGAATTAAAGTTTCGAGAAATAACAACACTCCGTTTGTAATGCATCCGATACGGCCTAATGATAATTTTTATATATTTCCGGATATACCACATTTATTGAAAAACCTACGGATGGCTTTAACTAACAATTCTATTATTACAATAGCACTGTCAATTGTAAAATCAGAAAATTTGCCATGCAATGAAGTTAGATTTAAATATCTCGAAGAATTAAATGTAATTCAGCAACGTAAAAATTTAAAATTAGCTCCAAATATAACTACCGACATTGTGAACCCAACAGGATTCAATAAAATGAATGTAGCAGCTGCAGCACATATATTCAACGTAAAAACAGCTGCTGCTCTGGAGACATTGATAGAACTGAAATTAATAGATAATGAAGCTAAAGCTACAGCTTGGTTTCTTAGAAAAGTACGGGCTTGGTTTGATGCGATGAACAGCAGAAAGCAAAATGAAGCGATTACTCCAAGTAATAGAAACTTAAAAATTGATATTATTGACGATTTTTTATATTTAATCGAAAATATAATTATTGGTAACTCGTGGAAACCGGTTCAAACTGGAATAAAAATGTCAGCTTTAAACACTATTACATTGACTGAATATTTATTTAAAAATGGATATCTTTTCTTTCTATATATATATAACTTCTCGTCTAAATCAAGATGCCATTGAAAATTTATTTTCCACGTTGCGTTGAAAAGGAATTATAAATCCAACAGCTTTACAAGCTAAACGTTGTCTCCGCCTCGTTACATTGTGCCAATTTATAGATACCCAGAAAGAGAAAAAAAATTATGCAGATGATGACAACGAGTATTATATTGATTTCTTCAGTTCATTAACAAATAAGAATAAGGAGAACGTAAATAATACATCTATTTCAGCCAAAGATTGCATGTATTCACACACATACGAAAATAATCAAGATTATTCGGATATTGTGCCAATAACAAATGGATTGGAATGTAATGTAATTAATAATGTCCTAGGAAGTGCAATATCTTATGTATTAAGAAAAAAATTCGCTTGCAATAACTGTTTGAAGGCCTATACTGTTGACGACAATGGTTGTAACTCATTTTATACCAAAGCACTTTCGTTTGGATTTTTGGAGAATCCTTCTAACAATATTTTTACATATATTACTTTGGTTGAAGCCCATTTGCAAGCACATTTTGATAGATGTGCTTTGCATCCTCAATTATTTGAGCACTTATTAGAAATGATAGAAATATGGGCGCCTTATAAAAACTTAGAAATTTCAAAAATATGTGCAGAACGTACGAAACCGTGCAATTTCTTTTATTACGTTTTATGTTGATATATTCGAATTCGCCAAATTATTTATGTAAATAATGAAAAAACGAAAATACGGTTATCCAAAAATAAGTCTTTTGGATCAAAAAGTGCCCATAGGCAATCGATTATTTAAATAATAATATATATTAATATCAGGGATGGGAAAGTTACTTTGTAAAAGTAATTAATTACAGTTACAGTTTTTCTCTTTCAAAAAGTAATTAATTACCGTTAC